CAGTGAATTTCAGTCAATATTTTGACCTAAAAACAGATGTAAATAGATATATTGGGCGACTTGTTTCAAACACTTTCAAGGGTGTAAAAAGAGAAAAAGTCCGTAAAAAGGGAAACTGGACTCAAAAAATTTTTGTGTATACAGGATTAGCTCCAAGATGTGATGTTGATACTCCTGCAAATTTGCAAGACATCTACAAGTGTATTCCAGATGATTTTTTTCTGATAAGGAACTCATCCTCTTCCGTTGTTTTTGCGAAAGATACTTCCTTATCTTGCAATGGTCATAAAATTCTGATGGAAGTGTTGATCAATGTTGATGGGTCATTTCAGATATCTGTTGGGAATAAAATACAAAGAATTAAACATGACAAAATAGAATTTACTTTCCTCAAAGTGAACTCATTATTCTGTTTACTAAACTCTTTTCGCTTTTGTGAGGGCTTAGACGCAGAAAAAATATCGGTACATAACAAGGAAAATGTCATTCTACAAACAAATTCTCACCATAAAAGTACTGCATACTCTTCACAGTGCATGAAAGTGTTGCCATTGAATTCCAAAAGGGAAACTGTGACATGTCACCACTGCAAAAGTCTACGTATCGTTAAATCTACTGCTACAGAATCTGAACATCTGGTACAGTCAACAGAAAGTTCACCTCCTCCCCCTCCTCCACCATCCACATCCACCAACCATGTTCCCAACTCTCCAACTGAAATACTGCAGTATCTTCAGCAGGTGGCACCCTATTTAGGAGAAGGACAGCTTGCACTTATAAAATCTCAACTTATCAATTCTAGTGTCAGTAATACTACAGCAAGAAAATGGGATTTTGACATTATGCAATTAGCATTTTCTATTTGGACAAGAAGTCCCAGGGCCTATGAGCAACTCTGCTTTAGTAAAAAACTTATTCTACCTTGTGTAAACACATTATCAAAATACAAAAACTCTGTATATCAAACATCTGGAGTCAATAACGACATGCTACAGTGGATGTTCATGCAGGCCAAAAATGATGGAATTCCTCAAGAGGGCTATTATGGAGGCCTTATTCTTGATGAAATGGCCATTCAGGAAGACATCCAAATAGACCATCATGGTAAGTCCCGCAAATTGATAGGAATGCCTGACTTAGGAGTTGAGGGTAACAGAATGCAGTCCTCCAAATACCTGTTGGCAAACCATGTCATTCAATTCATTTTCCACGGTCTGACAGGTTTCCGCTTCCTTGTTGCTCACTATCCCACTACCCAAGCCAATGCACCACAAATCTATACAATGTTCTGGGATGTAGTGCAAGCTCTTGAACAATGGGGGTTTCATATTATTTACACCTCCTTGGATGGAGCATCTAACAACAGATCGTTCATCAAAATGCATTTTCCATCACCTTCATCTGATATGGCTGGCTTTAATCCTTTCTGTAATACCCATCCAGTAATCTTCATTGCAGATCCATCACATTTGTTTAAAAAAATTAGAAATAACATTCTGAGCAGTGGTACATGCCAGTGGCACTCTAGACTTCTCAACATTGATGGATGTGAAACAACTTGGAAAACCTTCATTGATGCCTATGAATGGGATAAAAAGCATGGTCTCTCTATCCATCACAAACTTACCTCTCAACATCTGCATCCAAACCAAGCAGAAAAAATGAGGAATCATCTCGCCGAGGAATGCCTCAACTCAGACATGCTGCATCTCATGCGACAGTTCAAGGAAAGTTTGGGGGACAGTACTCTTGCTGCATCCCGCTGTGATGGGCCCATCAAATTATTGGAACAGACTAGTCTTTTGATAAATGTCTTCCATGACAGACGTCCCATCGCAGACCTTCAGGATGAACGTCTACAACAGCTTTCCAGTGCTCTCCTCTTCTTCCTTAAGTGGGAAAAAGATACTTCAGATGTTAAGCATTTAATGTCACATGAGACTAGGGAGGACTTGAAATTCCTTCTTTATGGATTTCAGAGTTTATGTAGAATTGTTGTGAATGACATTAAGTACATACTTACACCAGGATTTGTGAACAGCGACATTGTTGAAAACATCTTTTCTCAGCAAAGGGGACTCCATCATGGTGCCGGAAGCAATCCAAATTATCTACAATACTGTAGTGCTACAAACAGTATAACCCTATGTCAGAATTTGGTTTCCAAGAAATCCAATGCTGCAAGAAGGAAAGCAGGTTCCCATGGAGGATCAGCACTTCCATTCAAACAGCTTTGCAAAAATCTGAACATTAAAGAAAACCAAAAACAATCATAACAAATGTGTAAATAAATAAAATTAAGTTTAGTCTTGATCAACATTTGATTTCAAATTTTATTTCAAAAGCTGCAGTAAATTTATAGTATGATTTTACCTTACATTGAATGATCCTAATTAATAGATGAACCCTGACGATCCGACAGATTCAACTGAATATCTGGATTTGGCATCTTGTCACAATTCAAAATAGTGTTTCTTAGAATATCACACTGAACTTCCTTCTTGTCAGCTTGTTTAAGCTTAGTGTTGTAAAACTTTCCCAAGATTAACAGTTCTTTCTTTTTAAAAATGTTCAACAAGCCAGAATTTTCAATCAAAGCTGCTTTAAGTTTTAAGTGATATGCTTCCCTGTTGGTAGCACCAAGTAAGTCGTGAATGGAAATGTTAGTATTTGCTGCTGAGGATTTTGCTTTTCCTTTAGTTAAAACTTTTTTTCTGTGCTCCATAGATTTCTTTTGTCCAACTTCTTCTAAAAGTTTCTTTCTATATTCAGAGTCTGTCACTCTCAGGTAAGAATTCACAATGTCTTTAAATAAACAGGTAATTGCTGTTGCTCCATCAACTATGTCTGACAATATAAGAGAACAAGTGTCCAAGTCTGCATTCATGGTAAACAATCTAGTCTGTAGATTAGAAAATAGATTGGTCCATGAATTGAACAAATTTCTGTCTTCTACTATTGTTGCCTGAATATGCTGCAAAACATTTTGTCCATGGTACTTAAGTTCATGTTCACTATACAACGGAATTCGAGTCTTTTCCAATTCTAAAAAGAATTGGAATGCTCCATCTGTAATATTTGTTAGACCACAAGACAGATTTTGTTTCCTCTTGACGTCAATTATACTTCGTGGAAATTTCGTGGAGCATTCAACATCTGCTTGTGAGACGATGATAGATTGAAGCACTTCCACCTTTACTTTTGCTTGCTGGTTCAAAATTTTCCCATAATTTCTAAGATCATTTCGCACCAAGTTAGTATTATGGTACTTCAATTTCGCTACAGCACGGCCACCAACATAACGTATCTTGCCATGTGCAAAGTCAGATATAAATGTATCACAGGTTTTCATTGGCTGCTCTGGCTCTTGCTCTGTCTGTGACGTTACAATATTTTTTCGAATTGCTGTAGCAACACTTCCACAGAATAAGTCATTAACACTTCGACTTGAGAATAGAGATTTGCATAAAGAATTGTATTCTTTGGACTGCAGAAACGAATGATAGCTGGAATAAAATGAAGTCCAGTTTTTCACAGACTGTGAAGAACTGCAATGTTCACTCTTCATAGATTCAATCTTTTGAGTTAAAACTTGAACAAAGTCCAAAAACCGATCAAAGTGTATCTCAAAGTAAATAATATCGGAATTCAGTATTTTTTGATTATCTGATAGTGGATTCTGCACCCTTAATTCAGTCAGAAGATGTCTTGCTTTCTGATGATCCATTCCTTCTGGCCTTGAGTTCTCAGCCTGAAAGTTAAATACATTGTATGTCATGCCAATATGTCACAGATATCTGAATCAAATCAATACAAAACTGTATGAACAAAAACATGCTTTTTCTTAAGGATCTTTATATTTCTTTTATCATACACTGAGATTTTTTAACTTTCAAATAGTTATGCTACATGCCATTAATATGTACACAGTTTAAAATATTCCTGTCATTCTAAATATTTCTTGTGATTGAGAAATATTCCAAGTGTTTGCCTCTGTTACTTATTATTAATTATATTTCAAAAGGTAGACATTGTTGTTTAGAAAATTAAGACAAATTCAAAAGCATGATGCGAACCCTTTCTAGCTCTTCTATCATTTTCATGTCATCCTCCTCAAAGTCAGACTCATCTGAATTTTCTGCCACATATACATGTATCTCACCATGCTCACTGGTATCAAAGAAGTCTTCTTCAAATATGCCATCTTCGAACACCTAATAAAAATAAACACCTTAACAATAATGAATTGTTAACTTTTTAGTTTATAACAATATATCAGTTTTAAACTACATGTAAAAAATTGTTAAATACACTGTAAATGCGTAATGCATTTACCGGTAGTTGATAGCATAAATAATTTTCTTTACATAAGTAAAAGCATGCTTTATACAAATTCGTTATCAACATACTTTTTGGCAGCAAGATAGATCTCCTATGGCAACAACCCCCAAGGATGAACAGTAATCATTCACAGCCTGAGGGTGCTGTTTGCAGCACTTTGGATCGTAGTTCCTCACACAGAGCCCTCCACGGTCTGTAGAACGCCCAACTGCCACACCCATCTGACCTGCTTGGAAAATATTTTTGCAATCCACAACTACATTAGGTAAAGTTAGCCCTTGGGACTTATGAACAGTCATGGCAAAAGCCAGAGCAATAGGAAATTGTTTTCTTTGTGCTATTGTTGCACACTGTGCAGGGTCAAATACACTAAATGTAACCTTGTTTAGTTTAATTATTTTGTCTTCAAATTTCACAGTTGGACCATCGTCCTCTAACCTTAGCACAGTTCCCAGTAACCCATTAACTAGAGAGTCAGAGAGATTTCTAATCAGCATGACTGGGGCACCTTCTTTAAGTAAAAGAAGTTTATTTGCGATGATCTTTCTTAGATATTTCTGCTCCCCTTCTTCATCAGCACAGTAACTTGTTGGTTCTCCTGGCATTTTGTGCAGTTCTGTCATGTTGAAACAATCCACTTCAAAATTTGTACCAAATAGAAAACAGGGACTGCTTCTTGTCGAGGGTCTATCTAAGGCAAGCATCAACTGGTTTGTTTGGTGACTTGGAATACCACGCTCTAACTCGTTGATGGCTAGGATCAAGTCCTCGTCACTCTGACGAATTACTGTTTTAAGTGTTATGATGTGTGTGATTGTCTTTGTCCATACATCTGAAGTAAATGCATGGTCTCCAGGATCCCTGTACAAGTCATTTGGGACGGGTGGTAATTGGAAAAAATCACCTACACACACAACCTATGAATACGTGGGAATTTTAAAAAATATTTTAAAAACAGAATTGTATATTTATCTTCTTTTCTGCAAAATGCCATGATTCTCACAAACTAGACTTGTATTACACATATTAAAATCATAGGCTATCTAGTGTTTTATGACAATAATCACCTTATACCGGTAATTACATGTTTATTAGTTTGCCTATCATTTACCATTATCCTTTACAATATATGGAACCTATTTTCTAGGTTTAATCAACAGCAATATCTAAAGCTATGCAATTTTTAGTGCATTGATGATTCAAATTACTAACCTGCAATCCACCAAAATATAGGCTTGGTTCCCTAACTGACCTGCAGATGAATTCTAGCTAAATAAAGAAAATAGACGATTATATATAGTTGAGCGGGGAATAACTAAGATTTACAGTAAGATTGGAAAGAGCTATTGCTGCACTGCATCATTCAATATACTTTGAAATCGATATGCATTTTACAAATAATGATATAAACAACCGCTTGGCAGTAAGTGAGTAACATACATGTACATGTACAGTAATCAGGCAATGGGCCTTATATAATCAGGTACAGTCCAAAGACTATTTCTACCTCTGTATCTATTAATAGCTATGTAGGTATTTAAACAAATGAGATAACTCTAAGGAATGTGAAATTCCTCTATTAGGCCTACCTACTTTAGTATTTATATGTAAACAGTACCTCCTCAACATAAACAAATGTACACTTAATTTCACACGGACGTCGGTGCAAACATTCTCAGTATAAAACTAGATTATTCCAAGAGCTCTCATATAAATTTTGTAAGGTTATCTAAGCGATAGACATGGCCTAGTAACTCAGATATCAGATGTATTTACTTTTCTCCCGTAAACCGGAAATACTGTCTGCTACGTAAAAACAAAATCGGAACGGCTCTTTAACCATCCCATAACAGTTAATATTTGTGATAGTTACCCATGGTAATGCTTATATAATTGCACTTCATAAGAAAATACACAGGGTAATATTTATGGCAACATTCTCATTTTCTCAAACAAAATTATAACGTTACACACCTTCTCAAAAATTTTCCTACTGATCATAGATATTTCATCTATGACTAGCAAGTCGCATTTCTGGATTCTGCTCTTGGTTTCTTCACTGAGGATTTTTAATAAGTGCTGGTTTTCAAACCTTCCATCACCTAGCCCTGCCCAGTGGTGAATAGTTGTGGCGCCTTGGAATTGTCGTGCCGCCAACCCCGTGCTAGCGGTTACGGATGCACGTTTGTCTTTAATTCTTTTAAGCATTTCCTTTATTAGATATGACTTTCCCGTCCCCGCCTGCCCCAAAATTACACAACTATGTCCACTTTCAATTAAATTCAATGCCCTCGACTGTTCTTTGGTAAGCATGGTGCGAAGTTTTCCCGCAAAGCTTCTATTCTGTTTCAATATGTTAACCAATCAGATTCATGCAGGGAATTCCCATTAACATAATGATGTAAACTTCCGGCCCCCTTTGGCGATTTTTCGCATATCTGAAGCAGTAGATAGAAAACGAGGAGAGATTTTAATTAATTGCAAACGAAATGTGCTGATTTGGTTGGATAGGTCGTAAGTATAGATGTTGAAGGACCTGCCGCTACACGGAGAGGATCGCAAAATTATCTTGTCATTCCGTTTCGAGCGAAAAATCGTGCTGATGTGGCTGGCCTAGAAAAATTCAAGATGGCGCCTTGGGTACCTTGTTTATTATAAGGTAAGGGTATAATTTTTTTTATTAAAAGAAAAATAAGTAACGTCAGGTGCCTGTGTCTACTATACCACAGAAAAAGTTTCAGCTTTTCTGGCCAAGCAGTTCTAGAGAAGTTTTTAATGAATATTATTTTTGTCTTTTCTTGAATATTTCCCATTGTGAGGGAAGACCCTTCATTTTTACATCAAACCCCTCTTCAGCAAAGAATGCTTTGCGCCATGTATGTTTAAAATTGGCCTTGAGGTTCTTGAGAAGTGGACAATATGAAAAGTTGTATGAACAGACAGACGAACGGACAATGAGTCATTTGAAAGGGTCACTTGAGCTTTTAGCTCAGGTGACCTTAAAATGGATGTAAGCGCATACTACAGGTCTAAATTTGTAGCCCTCCAAGTAGTGACGCCTCAATATGAGTTAACAAATTCTTGAAGAGACGCTAAACAAACCATCTCAAACCTTTCAATTTCAATATTTTCCCCATGTAAACATGTGCAGACACACTTTTGTTGTCTTGAAGTCATATCTTTAGCAATTCAACTTAGACAAGTGTCAATCTTTTTTCTCCTTTTGACCGATATCCTATGAGAGCCACGTTCCCAGACCGTGCATTTTTATTTAGTGCATAAACTTCTCATATTATGGGGGTAAGTTTTTTTTAAAGATCCTGATTTAATACTCATCACATAGCTGTGACTTTGTTTCAAAACAACCATACAACATAAATGACTAGCCAAAAATTCTGGTTAAAACAATACTATCAGATATTTAAAGAATCAGAAGTTTGTCTTGTTCAAGATGTTTCAATAATGTTTACTGCATATATATATATATATATATATATATATATATATATATATATATATATATATATATATATATATGTAACGTGTAGGGGGACGGATTATAGCCAAACCGGCCTCCCTACAACACTCAGGGATCGGGTCTGATAAAAATCAGACCTTAGGGATAGAACTATGACTCTAATGTGCGCTGCCAAAATATACAAATATGCGCAACATATATACAGACTAAATATATTCAACGTATTTACAAAACATGCCAAGAAAACATACTAAGCCAACGAAGCAGAAGACAAAAACCAAGGCCCAGTGCTCTACCGCACAGACAGACACAAAAGAACAAGACACAGGGTCCCACACTTTACAAACACCGTAAAGCGACAGTCATACACTTAAAACAATATGACCCCGATTCATGAACCGCCCTCAAAAGGCCACGAATCCAAAGCAGGACAAAACAGTCCAATAACCCTCTTGTCTTATAATAGTTAAATACCAGGAAATATAGAGCTTTAACTCTCCCAATATTCCTAACTCAAGTACCAATGTACATTCAAAATTAACTACGTCTGCCTATCTACACAGCCTTCTTTGTTCTCCCCAAACCGCGTGCTCGGCACTCCCCACATCTACTTAGACCCCAGGGGTTACATGCCCCCTTGGGATAAAGGAGATAAACCGTCCGTGCGTATTTCGTTGGACACCAGGTAGCAAATACTATTTTATTCACTACAAACGACATATTAAATACACAAGTATACTACAATGTTAATTCACAAATTACATTATCAACACAATGCTTAGAATTCACTAAAATAAGGGAGTTCGAGAACTGAAGTCGAATAAATCAGGAACGGGTTAATTGACAAAAATAGTTTAGCATAAATTTAGACTGTTCATGGTCGATAATCAGAATTCCGGAATACATCCGCGACATATATATATATATATATATATATATATATATATATATATATATATATATATATATATATATATATATATATATATATATATATATATATATATATATATATATATATATATACACGTACTCTGAGGCTTAATCATGGGACCTATAACCATAATCATAAAAATGACAGTGAATGGAAATGTTTGCTCTGCGTCCTATGCAGTGGGTCTAATTATAGAAGTTAAATAATACACAAAAATGAAAAATATACATATATTTATTTACAAGATGTAGTACCAAACTCATGGTCATAAATATTAATCACTTAGTATAACAGATTAATTATGACAGAACTAAAGTACTGGTATTCCAGCTTTACCTTTGTTGTCAATCTTTCTCAATCCAGGAGCTTAGAGTGAAAAAAGCTGGAACAGTTTACTTAGCATCACTCATTCTCTTCTCCCTTTCTCTCACTTCACTTTGTCCTCTGTATTACATTTATGTAGATGTTTATTTTCTGAATAGTTCCTTTCCTTATTGAAACTCAGATTTCAGATTTTGATAGAAATATCTTTAGGCAATTACAAAAGCAGATATAGTTTTTGATATTCATAGTTTATATTGCATGTTTATTCCTTAAACACAATCTTGAAACACGATATTTGAGTTGATACTGAATCCTTTTAAGGATCCTAAATGTTTTGATGTGAATAATCGAGTCTTCTACTCCTTTATCTACAGTTTCATTGTCCGACCTTTAAAAGATATATCTGTGTGTCCATCACTCTCTTTGATATCTGCCCCTTTCATACTTCCTAGGTATTTCTTAATCTCCAGCTGAGGACGCCTATACTCCGTTACATCATTGTACGAAATGTCCATCTCTTTCAGACTAGGTGGAGCCTTCTCAAAGAAGAAAAGGATCAAATCTTTTGCTAATTCGATGCTTTGTATGGAGTTCCTATCTAGATAAATCTTCTCAAGTTTTGGATTGGTAAGGATTCCATCTAAAATCTTTCTTGCTCCAGAGTCGCCAATGTTATTCTGCCTTAGGTTGAGATAACGCAGACTATGCCAGGACTTCACCATACACTCACCAATACAACTTCCTGCTGTGTCATCGAGGTCATTCTCTTGAAGACAAATGTCCGTCAAGGTTGACAGATGCAGCAGACTATCACTTGATGTGAATATGGTTGTAGAGCCTAACTGACACTTCCACAAACTCAGATGGTTCCAAGAATGCTGATTGCACTTCAACATTTCTAAAAAGGAGGCAGAAATGTTTAAAAGTCCTTCCGTCATGGTTCCTTCTAAAACACCGATGGCATTACATCCATAATCCAGGTGCTGAAAATGGGGCATGTTTTTCAGAAGATTAAAATACTTCTCCGCAACTGACTGGGAAAATCCACATTCCCTTACATTCATTTTCTTCAAATTCTTCCCATTCAGAGAATTAATAATCAGTTCAAACCCCTTTTCTGAGATTCCCTTACAATTGCATAGGTTTACAACCTCAAGAAGAGGTAAATTTTTTAACAGAATCGAAAGTGACACAGCGCCTTCGTACCCAATGGTGTTTTCATGAACTCTAACTATTCTTAAATTTTCTTTGTCCATAAGTAAAGCTGACATTTGCATTATTCCCGAACCAGTGATCTTATTGTCTGCAACATTGATCTCAGTCAGATTGGCAGCTATCTTGAAATCTGAAGACATGGCTTGCAAGCCCGCATTGCCAAGATTGCATCTTTCCATTTCCAACCGTTTTAGCTGTGGGAGGAAATGCAGTCCTAATGGTTCTGGCTTCTTAGGGTCCATCAGCCTGGTGTCGTTCAAAACAAGAGAAGTAAGAGGAGAAAACCTGCAAGCTTTAATTATCTCTCTATAAGCTTCTGGAGTAAGAGTTGTTCTAGACAAATCAAGCTCGAATAAGTTTTCTGTCTTTTGAAGCCCTTCACGTAGAATCTTAACATCTGTTGTTGGATTCAAACTTGCCCCTGAAAACTTAAGTGACAGATAGCCTCTTCCGAACACAGGACCACCTTGACTGACTTTCAATTTGGTATCTGCCAGTCTTTGACCATTTTTATCTACTGTGACATGAATATTCAATGTCCCCAAAGTTGAGAGAACACTTGCAAGATTAACTAGAATCTCAATATCTGGGATCATAATAGATTTGTGAACAACTCCTGTTGAAATATCCCATTGAGTCATGCTGCTGGGGCCGATGGACAATTCAAATCTGTCAATCATTTGTTCTTGAATTAGTATATTAAGGATATTTGCTTGGATTTCCAGGGTATCCTTCAGAACTTCCACTGTGTAAAACTTTTCTGCTGTAACTAAAGTTTTGAGAGCATCAAGTCGATGACTTTGATCAGCTAACTTCATGACAACATAATGTAAATAAACATATTCCATCCTTCCAGATGGATTGTTTGTAAAATCTGAATTGATCAGAACTGTGGAAAACTCTCTTGGATTTTCTGCCAACTTAAAGAGGGGGTAGTACCCACATAACTGCATAGCAGACAAAACACCACTCTTGTATATCAGATACTGCTCCAGGAGTGGACTACTGAAATAGTATTTCTGATGGACCTTGGAGAATATAATGATCCCCTCCTTCAGTATCCCTTCCCATATCTCTGTTGAGAGAACACAGGAGTCCACTTTTCTTGTACCTGTTATCTGAGGTATAACCATATCCTGAACCCTCTTGACACCAAAGAAACATTGCTCTTCTTTTCTACCTGTATCTTTGTTTCTTGCGTCTGCCAGTTCTATCCCAAGTTTACTCAACTCAGTCTTAAATTTATGATCTGACACAAAACTTTCCAACTTTTTCCCCACCCATGTAGTAATAACTACAGAGTCCTCAAAATCTGATCCCTCCAAACTAGATACGAGCTCTTCGTAATGAGTTTGGACAAAT